CAGTTGAGCTCATTCATCACCGTTTCATACAAGCTGCTGTTTTCACCAGCTCTGGCCTTATTATACAAACCAAATAAATGGATTAACAATGGTCCAGAAAGCAAATGTTAGCTTGTTTACTTTAAGTCAGCAGAAGGCCAGAGAGTCTGCCCAGCGGCACAGAGAGGTCATTTCCATCTGAATAGAGGCCCCTCCACGGCTGGTGGCTCTTTACATTAGCTACAGTAAAAACCATTGTTCCAGCTGTATCCAACTCCTGCATGCCCTACGAGGAAACTCTGACCCAAATAAAAAACTGAAAATCCGACCTGAGTGGTTCATGTCTGAAGAGGAAACGTGTTAAACTTCCCAGGAAGGGTCGGGATAAGTTCAGGGAGTCTAACTGCAGCAGCCATAGATCGATAGTCAGTGGTAAACCTTGGCTAGCATGTCATATTACCCGTGGATGAATCAATTACAAAGAGACACTTGGAAATACGCTTCTTTTTGTTATCGRATTGTAGTCGGTCGGGTTGGGTTGGTGGTCACTCGGTAAAAAAATATGGGTGTAGCTAACAAGCTTTAGCGGTCAGCAGGAACTACAAGCTAACGCTCAAAGGCTAATCTAGTGTTAGCAGGAGATAAAGTTTGGGTCAATGATATCAACATATAACAACAATGGTTTGTAAAAGAAAGAATTTCAGCTTCGGATAAAACCTGCATTGTAAGCGATATTCTTCCTTGCTCGCTTTTTTTTACCTGTCAGTCGGATTTTGATGCTGGACCCGTTCCTCCGACTCCCAGGGTTCGACATCACTCCAGGGGAACAAAAATAAATAAAAAGGGTCACACAAACTTCCCCAAAATCACACCTTCATCCAAAAACGGCACCCCGACCGACTTTAGTAGCGAACCATGCGCTTTGTTTTTGTTTCCCTCACGGATAAGAAGGTATTATTTCCCCGCAAAGTCCTGCGCTCCTTCGAAATTCAACAACACGGGAGAACATTTTCGGGCAGGCTCGAGCACGTAGCTGACTGACGTAAAGTTACGTCTGCGTGCACGCTCACGGAGAGAATGTGCGTGCCCGTGATCGTCAGATTTCACTTTTTACATTACAAATGTAAAATCTATTTACAGTATA